GAAATAGCCTGATGATGACTCAAAATAGACTTTTGCTACTTATAACAGACTATGGAAAACAAAATCTATACTAAAATCACTATTTATCCTGTTTGATTGCTGAAAGAATTACTGTTAAAATTCGGCTTGCGAACAAGCAAAATTTGGAAAAATCCCCAAAATTTCGTTTTTCACTTATAGAGCAGACTTTGCCATACAAATATGATACAAAAGTGACTCTGACTTTGCAAACTCGTGAGCAATTGTTTAAATGTCGGAGTAAACCGCATGCATCTTTGAAGAATTCTTGAAAATTGCCTGATGATGACAGAAAAGTGCAATTTTGGCCTCTTCTAACAGACTATGCCCTTTAAAATCTATGCAAAAATCACTCTCTAGCTTTGGTGGTTTCTGCAGGAATTACTTTTGAACTCGGGCTTGTACAAAATTCAAAGAAATTCTCTGAGTTATGCAAAATCGAAACTTTTTGCACTTATGTGTACCTGCAAGAATGGTCAAGAGCAGCAAGTAGGTACCTGAGGAAATTAATGTCAAATTCCTGCTTGCTTAAATATTCGCAAAAAATCGCATGCAACTTTGAAAAATCGTAAAAGATGCCTGAAAATGGCTGAAAATTGAAACTTTGTACTTGGCCCTCAGGGGCGGATCCAGCTTTAAAGTCAGGGGGGAAAATGTAGAAAAAATACAGTTTTCTGTTATCTATAAAATTAGAAAAATGATCGTCGTTTTGTGCAAGGGCGGAGCAAGATTATTGCAAAATTTCATGTTTTCGGTCCCGTTTTGCATGTTTCTCGGAAGCAAAATGAGCAAGAACGCTCATTTATACATCATTCCAGAAATAACTAAATGGCCTTTATTCGATGTTTCTCAAGAACCATTCGAGCCACAGAATTAGTTTTGGCATCGTTGGATAGAGCATTTAGAAGAGTAGAGAAAAGTCGATTCAGTCGTAACAACGTTAGTGAGGAAATTCGAGTATTCAAGAGAGAATTTAAGATTATGCCAACATTTCATGTTTTCCGTCCCGTTTTTGCTCATATCTCGGGAGCAAAATGAGCAAGTACGCTCATTTGTACATCATTCTAGAGAGAAGTAAAAGGAATCCTTTTTAGAAAGTAAACCATCGATAAGGAAATGCTGGCAGTTTTCTCAAAAAATGCTTGCATTCAAGAAGTTTTAGATTTGCGTGGTTTTTTTT